ACTGATGTGCTTTATTATACTTGGCCTGATGATTGTATGAAGTGCAGCAAGAATAAATAATTTTCACATAGGCTTTTAAAATTGTCTTTGATGGAACTCTGTTCCATAGAAAGAATCTTAGATAAGACTTTTTTAGAGCTGAGCCCTGTCATAGGTTTGTACCCTCACATACCTATGAGTTGGGGAAATTCCTCCTCTCCTTTTGAGGTCCCAAGATAACTTGGGGCTCCTGGACCTTTTAGAAGGTGACATTCTTTACTTACCACAGGTCAGAAACCCTGTACAGGGACTGTGTAGGCAAGGTTATGAGCTCAGTTCACTAAGTGGCTTTTATAGGCTTTACAAGTCAAGTTTGATTCCTTAATGGAAAGCACACCATTCCAGTCAAAGTCTTGGTAAAATAACCAATTTCTCCAATTGTGTCCTCTTGCAAAAGAAAACAGATTATTATTACCCTTATGCAAATAACTACATTGCCATAAATTAAGAATACACACAAATAATTTCCAAATTCTGGAGAAATCAGGTAGAGAGATAAATATTCTCCAAGTGTTATTCACAGGAGTGTACTTTACTGGATTGTTAAAAGCTGTAAATATCTGAAAAGAAAAGTTACCTTGATTCTGAAAAATAAAACAAAGGATCAGCAATGTTTTAAGCAAAGGCAAAAAGATTGCTTTAGTCTTCTTAGTTTATGCAGTTAACTTTTGTTTGATATCTATGAACATTTCAGCTCTCCATGAGAGTTCTGAAAGTTGTTTCCTCTACTCTAATGTCACAATCTCCAAGGTTTCAGAAACCTGCATTTAAGTGCACCTGTTAAAGTCCTATGGCTGATTATAAACCACCATCTAAAGAAGATCAAAACAAGACAATTGTCTGTGGATGATAAAAAGTCTTAGGGCCGGGTGCAGTGGTTCACGTCTGTAATCCCAGCACTTTTGGAGGCTGAGGCAGGTGGATCACTTGAGGTCAGGAGTTCGAGACCAGCCTGGCCAACATGGTGAAACCCCATCTCTACCAAATGTCCAAAAAATAGCCAGGCATAGGGCAGGTACCCATAATCCCACTACTCAGGAGGCTGAGGCAGGGGACATGCTTGAACCTGGGAGGCGGAGGTTGCAGTGAGCTGAGATCATGCCACTGCACTCCAGCCTGGGTGACAGAGCAAGACTCCATCTCAAAAAAAAAGTCTTAGGACAGCCACTAGTAAAGCCACATTAACTAGGAAATTTTGGTTACTTCTGTGGCATACAAAATGTTATGCAACAGTTATTAATAACATATGCTAAGTCATATTAGAATTATAGGATTTTTTTCATAATTTTGGAACATGTACCAATAACACATTTAATCTAATGCTCCAAAGTAGATAAACTGAACAATTTTTTTGTTGTCGTTGTTTTTTGTTTTTGGGGTTTTTTTTTAGACCAAGTCTCCCTCTGTTGCCCAGGTTGGAGTGCAATGGCATGATCTCAGCTCATTGCAACCTCCGCCTCCTAGATTCAAGAGATTCTACTGCCTCAGCCTCCTGAGTAGCTGGGATTACAGGCACACACCATCACGCCCAGCTAATTTTTTGGTATTTTTAGTAAAGACAGGGTTTCACCATATTGGTCAGGCTGGTCTTGAACTCCTGATCTTGTGATCCACCTGCCTCAGCTGCCCAAAGTGCTGGGATTACAGGCGTGAGCCACCGCACTTGGCCTAAATTGAACAATTTTTTTTTTTTGAGACGGAGTCTCGCTCTGTTGCCCAGGCTGAAGTGCAGTGGTGCCATCTGAGCACCTGCCTCCTGGGTTCACACCATTCTCCTGCCTCAGCCTCCTGAGTAGCTGGGACTACAGGCGCCCACCACTATGCCGAGCTAATTTTTGTGTGTGTGTTTTTAGTAGAGACAGGGTTTCACCATGTTAGCCAGGATGGTCTCGATCTCCTGACCTTATGATCCGCCCATCTCGGCCTCCACAAGTGCTGGGATTACAGGTGTGAGCCACTGCGCCTGGCCTGAACAATTTTTAATAGTCAAAGAAGCAGCTTATGACCTTAAAGACTTTAGCAAACTTAATATCTGCATAATTTAGACCAAATGTTTACATTTTTAATTTGTTTTGTTTTTTTGTTTCTTTTTAGTCAGAGTCTTGCTCTGTCACCCAGATTGGAGTGCAGTCACTTGATCTTGGCTCACTACAACCTCCACCTCCCAGGTTCAAGTGATTCTCCTCCCTCAGCCTCCCAAGTAACTGGGACTACAGGCTTGCACCACTACACTTAATTTTTGTATTTTTCAGTGAGATGGGGTTTCATCATGTTGGCCAGGCTGGTCTCGAACTCCTGACCTCAAGTGATCTGCTCGCCTCAGCCTCCCAAAGAGCTGGGGTTCAGGCATGAGCCATCACACCCAGCCAAAATGTTTACATTTTTGAAGATTTTTTTATTTTGCCAATAATCTTTCAAACTGTCTTTATTTCCCAAAGATTACTTAAGTCACATGAACTAAATAAAGGGCATTCCACTTTTTACTTTTCTGATAAAATGTTTGATTTAAGCACTTCTTCTTGTTAAACCAATTAATTAAAGCTTTTTCATATATAAACTTTACATACATAATACATATAAATACACAGACAGACAGAAGATAAGGATCATCCCCTAAGCTGGGAATTGGACCTTAAACCAGGGCTGCCATTGTGAAAAGAGAAAGCATGGCCACATGGCTACAAGGTCAAGCTGCTAAGGACATACAAGACAAGAAGGAGGCCGGGCGTGGTGGCTCACACCTTTAATCCCAGCACTTTGGGAGGCCGAGGTGGGCAGATCACCTGAGGTCAGGAGTTCGAGACCAACCTGACCAACATGGAGAAACCCCATCTCTACTAAAAATACAAAATTAGCCGGATGTGGTGGTGCATGCCTGTAATCCCAGCCACCTGGGAGGCTGAGGCAGGAGAATCACTTGACCCTGGGAGGCAGAGGTTGCAATGAGCTGAGATGGTGCCATTGCACTCTAGCCTGGGCAACAAGAGCAAAATTCTGTCTCAAAAAAAATAAATAAGTAAATAAGAGAATGAAATGTGAAAGCATTTGTAGGTCATGCAAGAAAGAATTCAGGGTGAAGTCCATACAGTAAAGTGAAAGCAAGCTTATTAGGAAAGTAAATGAATAAAAGAATGGCTACTCCATACACAGAGCAGCCCCGAGGGCCGCTGGTTGCCTATTTCTATGGTTGTATCTCGATTACATGTTAAACAAGGGGTGGATTATTCATGCCTCCCCTTTGAGACCATATAGGGTAACTTCCTGTTGTTGCCATGGCATTTGTAAACTGTCATGGCACTGGTGGGAGTGTAGCAGTGAGGAAGACCAGAGGTCAGTGTAGTCATCTTGGTCTTGGTGAGTTTTAGCTGGCTTCTTTACTGCAACCTGTTTTACCAGCAAGGTCTTTATGACCTGTATCTTGTGACAACCTCCTACTTAAATGCAAGAAAGAATTCAGGGTGAGTCCATACAGTAAAGTGAAAGCAAGCTTATTAGGAAAGTAAAGGAATAAAAGAATGGCTATTCCATACACAGAGCAGCCCCGAGGGCCGCTGGTTGCCTATTTTTATGGTCGTATCTCGATTACATGTTAAACAAGGGGTGGATTATTCATGCCTCCCCTTTGAGATCATATAGGGTAACTTCCTGTAGTTGCCTTGGCATTGTAAGCTGTCATGGCACTGGTGGGAGTGTAGCAGTGAGGAAGACCAGAGGTCAGTGTAGTCATCTTGGTCTTGGTGAGTTTTAACTGGCTTCTTTACTGCAACCTGTTTTACCAGCAAGGTCTTTATGACCTGTATCTTGTGACAACCTCCTACTTAATCCTATGACTTTCTTTTTTTTTGAGGTGGAGTCTCACTCTGTCACCCAGGCAGGAGTACAGTGGTGCAATCTTGACTCACTGCAACCTCCGTCTCCTGGGTCCAAGTAATTCTCCTGTCCGAGACTACCGAGTAGCTGGGACTGTAGACACATGTCAACATGCCTGGCTAGTTTTTGTATTTTTAGTAGAGATGGAGTTTCGCCATGTTGGCCAGGCTGGTCTCGAACTCCTGACCTCAGGTGATCCATCTGCCTCAGCCTCCAAAAGTGCTGGGGTTACAGGGGTGAGCCACCACACCCAGCTGTCCTTCCTACAGCCCTTCAGGCAGATAACATTATTCCCATCACACAGCTTAGGAAATTGAGGCTCCAGGATGTTAAGCAACTTATCAAAGTCACACTGTGACTCCAAGGTTAGAACTTAGGTCTGGGCCGAGTGCGTTGGCTCATGCCTGTAACCCCAGCACTTTGGGAGGCCGAGGTGGGTGGATCACCTGAGATCAGGAGTTCAAGACCAGCCTGGCCAACATGGTGAAATACCATCTCCACTAAAAATACAAAAATCAGCTGGGTGTGGTGGCATGCATCTGTAATTCCAGCTACTCAGGAGGCTGAGGCAGGAGAATCGGCTTGAACCCGGGAGGCAGAGGTGGCAGTGAGCTGAGATTGTGCCACCGCACTCCAGCCTGGGAAACAGAGCAGGACTCCATCAAAAAATACCAAAACAAAACAAAACAAAAAACCTAAGTCTGTCTGCTTTTCCCACAGCAACACACTATGTCTCAAGGTTCCAGCCAGGCACACTGATGTCTAGGGGAAAAGCAGGAGAGGTTCTGAGCAGAGATAAGCCCCCAGAGGACTTCGGGTGGGGGACACAAGAGGATAGCACCTGCCCTTCGTGCCCTGCCATCGATTTCTGTCTAGGTGAGCCAAGCATTAGTGTGAGGAAACGGGATGGAGAGATACAGAAAGGGGATGGGCTGGTGGGGCCAAAGGCTTATCTCAGTCCAGGGCACTGGTCAAGCTCAAGGAGATAATGTCCATGAGTCACAGAAGGATTTGCGTTTCCACCATCACCAGACAGACACGCTCGCATGCACGTCCCACCTGCTCTGATGACCAGACCCCACCCTCCTCACCTGAGACGTTACCACCCACGTAGATGGCTATCACAACGGCCAGAGAGCCAGCCAGAAACATGGTGAAGAAGTTGCCTTTGGTTTCTCCACTGGTGACAGCCTGGGCCACAGCTCCTTGGGTGAGGAGCTGGTGAAAAGAGGAGAGATGAGGAACAGGGAGCCCAGGAGACCAACAGGGAGAAAGGTTGGGAAGGCCAGGGGAGAAGCCAAGAAGATGAATGGGCACGGAAGACAAGCAAGGGAAGGAGAAAAGCAGAACGAGGGAAGGGAAAAGAAAAGAAATGGAGAAAGTGAAGGAAGAAGAAAGGGAAAGAATGTGGGAAAAAAAGAAGAAAAGTGACAAGAATAAAAAGGATGAAGAAGGAGAGGAAAGGAGATTAGGAGAGATGAGAGGATAAAAAAGAAAACGGATAGGGAGTTGGGAGGAAGGGGGACACCAAGAGAAAGAGATAAGGACACCAGAAGGAGTCAGAAACTTTTGCCCACCCCCTTCTTTCCTTTCCCCAGTGACCCTACGTACCATGAGCACAAACACACCCAGAAACTCTGCCAGGCACTGCCGGGCCAGGAGGCTGCGGATCTGGAGGTGGCGCCTGATTCCAGCCGGGACCTGAGTGATGACCATGGTGGAAACACCCTATCGCTGTTCACTGCTCCCTCTGTCTGCACAGGCACACTGCCACTGCACAGCTACTGCCTGCCCCAGCAAAGACAAGGAACAGACTTTAAAACCATTAGCTTGGTTGTGCGCATTGGTTCACACCTGTAATCCCAGCACTTTGGGAGGTCGAGGTGGGCGGATCACCTGAGGTCAGGAGTTTGAGACCAGCCTGACTAACATGCTGAAACCCCGTCTCTACTAAAAATACAAAAGTTAGTTGGGCGTGGTGGTGGGCACCTGTAATCCCAGCTACTCAGGAGACTGAGGCAGGAGAATCGCTTGAACCCGGCAGGCGGAGGTTGCAGTGAGCTGTGATCGTACCATTGCACTCCAGCCTAGGTGATGGAACGAGACTCCATCTCAAAACAAACAAGCAAAACCCATTAGCTCAATTCCTGAACAGCAGCTACTGTCTGTGCCCGTGTGTAGGCTAGGAAACAGAGAGATAACAGGAGAATATCCGGGAGCAGGCTATGAGCACAGAGCCTGGAGTTTGCCCAACCTCTGTCTCTTCTATCATTCATTCCCGTTCATCACAGGACTAGCCTCCCCCATCCTGACAAATCGAAGGAAGTACCCTGCTTCATATACATTAGATCTCTTAGTCCTAAAGTCAGTTCTGCAAAGTAGTATTGTTGTTTCCATTCTACAGATGAGGCTAGTGGGCCTTAGATCTCCCCAGATCATACAATTTTTTGTTTCTGTTTTTTTTGTTTTGTTTTGTTTTGTTTTTGAGACAGTCTTTCTGTGTCGCCCAGGCGAGTGTGCAGTGGCATCATCTCAGCTCACTACAGCCTCCATCTCCCAGGTTCAAACGATTCTCCTGCCTCAGCCTCCTGAGTAGCTGGGACTACTGGTGTGCACCAGCATGCCCAGCTAATTTTTATATTTTTTAGCAAAAACGGGGTTTCACCGTGCTGGCCAGGCTGGTCTCAAACTCCTGGCCTCTAGTGATTCACCCACCTAGGCCTCCCAAACTGCTGGGATTACAAGCAAGAGCCACTGTGCCCGGCCCAGGATCACACAACTATTTCATGGCTGAGTGAATTCAAATCCACATCTTCTGACTCTCCATCTGGTAACCCACAAAGCCTCTCATTTAGAACCTGAAGCCTTTCCCCAAACCATTTGGATGCCTGAAGAACTCAACAGGCATCTGGAGAGACTGGGTTAAAGACCATAGACTGTGGGAATGAAACCCACACACTGAGTGCTTGTGCTTCCCTTATGCCGAGTCTCACATAGGTTAGAGAATGCTCCATCTTTGTGTCCCCTGACATGGCTCGACATGAGGCCTTCACACTCCTACTTCTTCATATCTCAAGCCTCCAATTGAATGCATTCAGAGAATCTACTTCTAGACACTGGAGAAACAGTGGTGAACAAAACATAGTCTCTGCCCTCCTAGAGCTTATGTTCTAGTAGGTGGAAACAAAAAATTAGCCAGGCATGCGGGGCAGACGTCCGTGTAGTCCGCAGCTACTTGGGAGGCTGAGGCAGGAGGTCTCTTGAACCCGGGGCAGGCAGAGGCTGCAGCAAGCCTAGATGGCACCATTGCCACTCCAAGCCTGAGCAACCAGACCAGAACTCCATCTCAAAAAAAAAAAAGAAACCATCAGATCTCGTGAGACTTACTATCACAAGAACAGCATGGGAAAGACCTACCCCACGATTTAATTACCTCCCACCAGGTCACTTCCACAGCATAAGGGAATTCAAGATGAGATTCGGAATGGGGACACAGCCAAACCTTTTTCAGGCGTCCTCACTCTGTTGCCAGGCTGGGGAGTGCAATCTTGGCTCACTGCAGCCTCCATCTCTTGGGTCAAGCAATTCTCATGCCCTCAACCTCCAGAGTAGCTGAGACTACAGGCATGTGCCACCATGCCCCAGCTGGCTCACTCTTCACTTGCCAAAATGATCATACAAAGGCTTCAAAGGAAGCAGGTGCTTTACAATGTAGATAGATATCATCCTCTCCGAGCTCTATTCACACCGTCCTCTCCTGGCAACAAGACAATATAACAAGGATTGAATTCTAGCAAAGACCCAAAGAGAATTTTCTGGCCTACTAAGAAAAGGAGAAAATACATTGGTAAAGGAACTTCAGGATCTGGCCTATACGTACCTGCAGAATTTGGGTAGGCACATGGAACTGGATACTGAGAATGTTGGATCAAGGGAGGTGGAACACAAGCTTAGATATGGAAGATGTAGATATGGAAGATTTATTGATATGGAGAGCACTCGCTGTGACATTAGGGATTTAACACCTTTGTGTAACCACCCAATGGGTTCACCCTTGCCACTGCCTAGACAGAGATGATTTATCAAGGCGGGGAATTCCATAGAGAAGAGTAATTCACACAGAACGCTGTGCAGCGAGACCAGAGTTTTGTTATTACTGCAAATCAGTCTCCCCAAACATAGAGGATCAGAGTTTTAAGGGCATCTTAGTGAGTGGGGAAGTCAGTGAGCCAAGAGTGCTGATGGTCAGTCAGAGAAGATATCATAGGGAGTCGAAGCTGTCTTCTTTTTTTTTTTTTTTTTTTTGAGGCACGGAGTCTCGCCTCTGTCGTTCGCCCGAGCTGGAGTGCAGTGGCCGCGATCTCAGCTCACTGCAAGCTCCGCCTCCGCGGAGGGCGCCATTCTCCTGCCTCAGCCTCCCGAGTAGCTGGGACTACAGGCGCCCGCCACCTCGCCGGGCCTAATTTTTTGTATTTTTCAGTAGAGACGGGGTTTCCACCGTGTTAGCCAGGATGGCCTCGATCTCCTGACCGGCTGGATCCGGCCCCCTCTGGCCTCCCAAGTGCTGCGGATTACAGGCTTGATCCACCG